ACTTGATTCAATAATAGCATAACTAATTTAGCTATGTCTAAATTAGATAGATTATTTGTTGCGTCGAAATGGTTGGAAGTGTACCCCTAGCTTGGGTCAAAGCTCTTCCCAGGGTATCCTCAGACCATTGCCCTTTATTATTGACTACTGGTTGATTAAATGGTGGACCAATACCTTTTAGGTTGGATGTTAGGTGGCTAATGGAGAAATATATTGTCGAGTTGATTAAAGGAACGTGGACCAATACTATAGTGGAGGGTACCATGGATTTTTAGTTACACAAAAAACTTTTGAATGTTAAACATAAGTTGATTGATTGAAAGAGAGTACATAAGTTCGATATTAAGGCCAAAATAGATGGTGTACTTTCTAAGATTAAATAGCTAGATTCTAATGTTCAAACTAATGATGTTTTATCAGAGCAATTGGTATTGGAGAGGGGAGTGAAGATTAAAGATTTGGAGGATCTGAGGAGATCAGAGGAAGTATATTGAAGACAAAGGTCAAGATCGAAGTGGCTTAAGGAGGGAGATCTTAACACCAAATTTTTTCATGCTTTACCAGTGTTAGAAAAAGACAAAATGATATTTTGGGTCTGTCCATTCCTGGTGTTGCCTCTGATGATATGGTTGCTATGCAAGGGGTCGTTATTGACCATTTTAAGAAGGCTTTCTTCAAAGAGGCCACTCTTTCACCATCCTTTAATAGAGTCCCTTTCAAAGTTCTCTCGGATGAAGCAAAAAATTTCTTGGAAAGAGTTTTTTCTATGGAAGAATTGCAAAAGGCGATTTTCACTATGCCAAGGGATAAAGCTCCAGGTCCGGATGGTTTCCCTCTTGGTTTCTTTCATAAATTTTGGGATTTGGTAAATGGTAAGTTGCTGGATGTTGTTAGGGCTTTCTTGATTCGAGGTGGGATTTTCAAAGGGTTACGCTCGACCTTTCTAGCCCTAATTCCAAAGAAATATTTGATTTCTAATTCGTCAGATATTCGCCCTATCAGTCTATTTTAACCAGCTTTAAAAAATTATTACAAAAATGTTGGCACAACGTTTGAAGAGTGTACTACCTGCTCTAATCTTGAACACCCAATCTACCTTTATTAAGGATCGTCAAATTACGAACAGTGTTTTCATTGCACAAGAGTGTATTCACTCGAGGGTCCTTAGTAAAAAGGCTGGTATTTTTTCTTAAAGTGGATGTTTGGTTGCCTTTCGTCTGGCCATTTATCAGTGCTTTTCAAGGGTAGCACAATTGGCTTCTTTCAGGCTTCTAGAGGCTTGCGCCAAGGGGATGCCCTCTCGCCTTTCCTCTTTACCATTTATGTTGAATGTTTCAGTTTGATGTTGAGCAGAGTGGAAAGGATGGGATATTTTTCAGGGTTTTCTATTGCAAATCAAGTATGGTTGTCTCTCATTTACAATATACTTATGACACTATTATTTTTTGTGATGCGGATTCCCTACACATTAAGAATATTGCTTTATTTTTTGAAATCTGTGAAGTTACAATTAGCATTAAAGTGAACTTCCATAAATCCTCCTTTGTTGGTATTAATTGCCCTCAAGCATTGCTTGCGACTTTAGCAAGTGTGGTGGGTTGTAAAGTGGGCTCTTTCCCCATTCTGTACATTGGATTACCAATTTCTTATTCAAGATTTTCTATAGCTGCTTGGCATAGGGTGATTGAGAGAATTCAATATAAATTGGATATGTGGAAACCCAAGTACTTAATTCTTGGGAGAAGGGTGACGCTTCTAAGATCTTGCTTGGCAAACCTTCTGGTGTTTCAGATGTCGCTTATTAATATGCTTGCCTCGGTTGCCAAAAAGATTGAGAAAATGATGACAGACTTCCTGTGTGGCTCTAATAATAGTCAGCGGAAGTTCAATCTTTTGAGATGGGATAGGGTGTGTACGCCTAGGAAGGAAGGGGGCCTTGATATTAGAAGCTTTAGAATGGTTAATCAAGCTCTTTTGTGTAAATGGTGGTGGAGGAGTCTTCACTTAAAAGATCAGTTATGGTTCCAAGTCCTCTTTGCTAAATATGGGTTAGATCGGAAGTATGGCTTGGGGGAGGTAGGAGGAGAGATAATACTCAAATGTGGAGAAATATTGTTTCTTACAAGTCCATGATTGCTGGTTATTTTAGATGGTCTATAGGGTGTGGTGACCAAATCTCCTTTTGACATCATAAGTGGTTGGGAGATTATCCCCTTAAGTCTCTCTTCCTAGATCTATTCAGGGTGATTTTGAGACCCAATAGTAAGGTCTGTGAGTTGGTGGAGAGAAGAGGTGATTCTTTATCTTGGCATATTCCTTTACTGTATGTGAGGCTAAATACCACACTCTTTGCTCAATGGTGTGCATTGATGGATTTACTGAAAACAGTTTATATGTCACCAAATGTAGTTGCATTGATGGATTTACTGGAAACGGTCGACATTTCGCCAGATGCAGTGGATCAGATGGTGTGGGAGGTGGAGAGTGATGGCATCTTTACGGTTAAATCTTGCTACAATCTTCTCTTTCATGATCATTGGAGATGGTCTTGCCCTCAGATTGTGTAAATTTGGAAAAGACTCATTCCTCATAAAGTGTAAATTTTTCTCTGGTTAGTATCTATGAATAAGATTTTAACAATTGATAATCTGATTAAAAGGGGTAAGATTTTACCAAATGTCTCTTTGTTAGGTAAAGCTGATGGGGAGTATGGGGCGCATCTTTTATTACATTGCCCTTTCACAACCCAAATTTGGTATTGGTTGTTTGGTGTGGTGAATATATTAGGTTGGCCCTACCAATGACAGTTGAGGGTGTTGTTACTCAACTTTTGTTACCACATCTGCCGGAGGTAGGCAAAACTCTGTGGAAGATTGTAAAAGGAGTTATCCTCTGGGAAGTTTGGAATGAAAGAAACATGATGACCTTTAAAGGAGTTTCTCTATCTCTGGATGGTCTGATTCATTCTATTAAGTTATCTATATGGTCGTGGCTCTCGATGTCAAAAGTAGAGTGGGGTGTGACGAAGATTAATGTATTTACTAACCTCAACAACCTTTTTCATACGGGTGCCATTAGGAGTATACCAAAAAGTTTATGGATGGCGCCTCATGCTGGTATGGTAAAACTCAACTTTGATGGAAGTTCTTTTGGTAATCCCGGAATTGCTGGGATGGGTGGTATTCTGAGAGACTGTATACTCTTCTTTTCTATACTGGGCCAATAGGGTATGCAACGAAAATTTTTTGCTAAATTAAGTGCGCTTTATCGAGGATTGAAAATTTTTAGAGAGAGAAATTATAGCCATACATGTTGGATAGAAGGGGATTATCTTAACGTGATGAAGTCGTATAATACGGAACAACTCATTCCTTAGAAGTTACGACCACTCTGGCTAAGGATTATGGATTTGTCTTCAACTATTACGGTCTTCTTCACTCATGTTTATCGTGAAAGAACTCGGTGGCCGACAACTTGGCTAAGGGGGGTGCTTTTTATCTTCTCTTTTTATCTCTGATGATGTAATTTTATTTTCATCGTATTAATAAAAGTATTAACATTGGTCAAAAAAAAAAAGGTGTAGATCAACCATTGCATTAGTGATTAGATGAAGTTCAATTGAAGCTATGGTTCATCTCCACCATCCTTCTTTGAGGATGGATGGTCATTCTAGTGAAGCTCTTAGAGAATAGTGAGAGCAGTCAAAAAGGAAAAAACTTACATGAAAACTAAATAATCAACAAAAAAAAAAAAAAAAAAAAAACAAAAAAAAAAACAAAAGAAAGAAAC